TTTTTTTTTTTTTTTTTGCCCGATACGCCGTCACGCCTTCTCGCCGAAGCTCCAATATCTTCATCACAATCGCGTAATCAAATTTATTAAGCATTGTGGTCCCTTCCTCATTTTTAGCGTTCCGCACTCTCGCGTACACACATCTCCCGAATCGTTAAGCTGTGACGCAACTGCGTGTACATGTATATAAAATAATACGAGCGCCAACAATGCCCCCCCCCCCCTGGCTAATTATGTAAAAAGAATCGCCAGATAAAAAAAAAAAAATACGTCCATTGTTGTGTGGTAGGAGCGGCGCGATTTTCGACACGTCGAGCAACGGCAAAACGAAACGAAAAAAAAAAAATGATAATTTCCCAAAAAAAAAGGAGGATAATCACTGGGTTTGGTGATAAATTCAACGTTTGAGATACGCGTATGACGGAATACCGGCTTCCAAGAGAAAAAAAAAGGGGGGGGGGGCTCCGCGAGTGTACTTAAAACGGAGATATATCGCGGGAGGCGTCGCGCGTTTTTTATACTCTCGCTTTCTCCCTTCGCGCACGCACGAGTGGCTCTTAAAAATCGGTTGGGCATTTTTCGATCGACGATTTGTCGAGTGGAGAGTTGGTCGGAGGTCGATACGCGCGCTAGATCTCTCTCGGGCGATAGGAGGTTTTCACCGGCAAAGTGGTGCTCGGTAATCGCAAGGGCGGCCGATTGCTGTTGCACCTTTGTTTCGTGGGGTCCTCGTTAGGTTTGGGAGCGTTTACCGGGCAAAACGTGCCGGGAACAGATTGTAATTGGCCGAGCGTGAAATGGATCGGTTATAGAGGGAACACGCGAAAAAAAAACATATATAACAAACACCCTCTCGGTTTGCACGATGTTGAGGACGTCATTGTGAAAACGAGTTTTACCGGTTGATTATTTCCCAATTAATATACCCAAATGAAGTTTCAACTTTTGTTTGCCTTGGAATCGGGGACTTGATTATACTCTTCGGTGGTTGTGTACAGCTGATATCGTTAATTGAGAAAAAAGAGTCTCCTTAAACATTCGAAAGATACGCTTCCTCGATCTTTTTTTTTTCATACTATCGGTGCAAGTTCTTTTTAATTAGGGGATCCTGGGCTTCGAATGTGCTATAATTACGAGCACCCTCAAACAATGAAAAAATGCATTAACAATAAAATCTTACTTCTATTCGGAGCATTTAAAAAAAATTAATCACCAACAAATCGTAAAATTGCATACACGCTCAACACATCGTTATTCTGCAATATGATGAATGTAAAAAAAATGTAACTTCACAGCAAAGCTATACATGAGATAACCATACCCAACGAATGTCGTACAGACACTTCAAAATTTGACATGAGCGATTGCCTCGCCTAACAGTAGCCCGACTCTTTTTTTTTTTTTTTTTCACCAACTGTATAGAAAAGCGTGTAAAAAAAGCAATGACTCGTGAGGGTCATTAGCTACATAGGTAATCGACGTAGCATCGAGAGATGAAACTTTTTGATGACTTGACCATCCACCTGCCACGTAACCATTAGGAATTAGATAATTAATTTTGTCCGTTTGTTTGCTCACGTGTTTACCACGTGCCACAATAGGAGCAGAACAGAACCAATTGGATCCACAATTCCATAGATCCATCAATCACTCGGTATATCATATATACCCATTAACGAGTGGGTGAGAACACGCGAGTCTCGTACATAGACACGTGGATACATGAATTCTGGATCCACTGGATCGAGCAAACTTACCTGAAACGCGGGCACGGCTTGTCTTTTTATACAGCCACAGCGAGCGAGCGAAAGAGGACCACGAGACAACCGGCAGAGGCACTCCGGGGCGTCCGGTCACTTTCGATCTCTTCGACGGCCGACGTGTATTTTATACGTATACACTTAATGCTCGTAAGTAAGTACACATATCTACTTTCAATGCCCACACACACACATATATATATATATATCCAGGCCACGGAGCGCGCGAGAGATACAAGGCGCACACTTTCTCACTTCTCCTTTTAGCACGGGTCGCCCCCTTTTTAATCTTCCTCGCTGGATCGCGGGGGGACAATTTTATTTATTTATTTTTTTTTTTTTTAATTCACTTTTTGTGTTCCTCGTCGTGGAAGTGATACACGCGTCTTTCGCGCTCGTGACTTACGCGGAGGTCGAAACCGATCCTCCTCCTTGTTTTTCAGAGTGCCCCTTTGGGCTGGAAAGAAAAGAAGAAACAAAGGACCACGTGACACCGTGTCGATTCGATCGTTATTCGGTGTCACCGGGGAAGGTCCTGAGTCCGTTGGGTCCACCCCATTGTGCATAAATCACCGAAATAACAATGTAACTTCCCTATCGGATCGTGTACACGAGAGATCGGAACAAATTTCACGACAATCACGAGTAAAAGTCCCAATTAACGCATATAACGCGCCCAGTGATGATTATGACCCTCCTCTTGTGCAAATGGCTGATGTATCACTCCAGCCAACGCTGTCGTTGCTAATTAGGCACTTTTCATCCCTCCCCTGGAAAAGCAGCGCGCAGAGTTATCGCCTCCTTGCGCAAGGCTCTCCCACAAGCAGTGCTTGGTTAAATGCGGCACACCGGATGCAAACTCAGTTGACAAACGAGGCGTTTGCGACGTAAATCATCGCATCTGCTCAAAGTTACCTTCACAAGACGAACGTTAAGAGCACTTCTTTGAATGTTTTCCAACGGCTGGAGCAGCGAACTCCCCGCTGTTGTCAATCCCGGATGAGCGATCGGTCCATTGACTTACAAATGAATGTGTATACTAATCACGAGAAACACCAATGTATATATGACCATTGATAAATGGGGAAGGTCAACGAGTCTCATTTCTGCAGCTTCCGATGAGGTGCCGCTCGGGAAAAATAATCTTGCATTAGCATACATAAAGCCTACCCCCCCCCCGTTGGTAACATGCTTTTCAATTAGATCTGTCTGACTTTCTACAATGGTTACATGCCCAATCGCGGTTGAGGAGGGTAATCGGTAAAAATGCGTTATTTCTCTGCTTGTACACATACACGGGAGCAATTTCGTCGTTGCGCAACAAGAGACACACGATCTACGAGAGAGATGTATCGATTGTTTTTTTTTTTTCGCCGCCAACAGAGTGTAATGTATGTACACGCGAGAAGAGGTGTAGGAGCAATCGAGCGAGAAATTGGGGTCGCGAGATTAGAAGTAAGGTGGAAGAGCTCGATTTCGTCCTCAATCTGACTTTTAGAGGTATAACGATAAGAAAAACTAGCGCTGGACCAAGAGCTTTTTTGTTATTGAGATGACTGGACTTTTTTTGAGGGGGCCATTACGTAACGTCACGCGTCCAAGTGTGATAATTGGGCCTACATTGTTTTGGCATGTTTGATGCACTTTGCAGACTGCAGTGAATGGGTTGTCGAAAAAAATAGTGGCTTCATTACCGCGTTTGGGATTGAAGTTTTGCGGAAGTTTCATTATACGGAGCCTCGCGAGATGCAAGTGCATTTTCGACTCGATAATGGTATTACGAGATTTTTCAAATTATTACCGTGTGTTGTTGTAATACTTAATATCCCGCATTAACCGCTTCCGGAAGCGAAAAATTAGCAATATGTTCAAAGGGGTACAATATAAGCTAACTATTTGTATGTATGTAATATGGAGAAAAATACAATTAAATTGCTCGATAGCGCGTTTATTTCTTTCGCACTTGTAATTTGCACGCACCCGACCATACAACGCGTGCACGACCAACAAAAACAATCGTGCCCGGCCTCCGTGTCTTAATTACTGCACCTGTACCTTTCGACGCGGCAGCGAAGCCTTAACCTTTCGTTGGTGGAAAATGAAGGGAAAAAAAAAGAAAAAAAAGAAAACGATGATAATCGGATTCCTTCCTGCGTTCCCAATTAGTCCTGTTTTCAGGGGCTGCGTCTCGAAAACAACTCCAGTTTGTTATTTGCGTAATCGAGTTCCTTTTTCTTTCTTTTTCCTGTTCTCCAGTGTCGCGAGAATATGCACATTATAAAGGAAAGGAAAAAAAAAATACTTATTTCAATTTGTATACATGCGAGACACGTCCTTGTTAACCACTGCGGTGGAGATGCGGTTTCTTAACATCGCGGAATGCGCATCGCTGCAGCAGGACGATTGAGCAAATGCACGAAAAAAAGAAGAAAAAAATACTGATTTACTTTGATGCCTGCAATCCTCCGGCGTCAGACTGTCTGATCTTTTTTTGTATTCTTTGTAATATAGCGTAGTTTGTATGCGAGTGCCTTGGCATCGTTAGATATATTTCTGGAGGATCGATGTTACATAAGCGAAGCATCGATCGTTTGTGGTGTTTTACAAGTACACTGGCAACCGATTAAACCGATCAAAAATCGCAAATCGGTAGATCTTAAGTTTCCAATAAAACCAGGAAAAACACCAGCGAGTCGACTCATTATTTTTTCTGTCAATAAATTTTTTGTTTGTCGTATCGGATAGTAAAAACACAAAAAAGATACACACGTATATGCAGAAAGAAAAAAAAATAGGCATAAAAAGAGCACTACTGCCGTCTGGAAGCGCAAGAGCGTGAAGACAAAAAAAACCTTGTTTCCGCACGCGAACGCCAAGGCTCGACTCAATAAACACACTCCGCGTCGAGGCTATCCGCTATCGTCTTTCAGCCGAGGCGAACCTGTGTAGCATTGAAGTCGCCAGACTGCAGAGACACCAAATAAACGCACAAAACTGCTCAAGTGTACCAGTTTTTTAATTTTTTTTTCCTTTTTGATACTAATTCACTATAAAATTAATTAAAAATCGGGAAATTTTTTTTTTTTATTCCACCAACGAATTATTAATTTCACTCACCTACTCGTCACACCAGAAAAAAAAGGGCCCAAAGAGAGAGGAAGAATCACTTTTTTGACACCACAAAAAAAAGGAAAAAACCCACAGCATCATCAGAAGGGGAGAAATCGGCGTTCAACTCACCTCCTTGGGTTCATCTTCGTGCACCCGGTAAGCCCCAGTCGTGCCGAGGAGCACTACGAGGCACCAAATGAGCGCGATCCGCTTCATGGCCAAGTCACATATAGACTGAAGAGCCGAGCTTCCAACACCGATCGTCCCGCCGGATCCAAAAGACAAACGCGTGCGCCTCCCTTCCTCGAATTGACGAGCTCCCGCTGCTCCCGAGGTGGGGCAGACCAGAGAGACACACAAAGACACACCTGCAAGTAAACACGAGCACACAGATAGACACGCACAAATACGCACACCCGCACTTGGTCACTAAAACAAAAAAACAAATATTCCAAAGCCCAAAAAAAAAAAAAATGAACCTTATCGTCAAGCAAGTGTATACACATGCGTCGGTGCGAGGTATCGGAGATCGCGATGCCGCGCGCGCACTTACAATTGGCACGCGAGCGCGATGAAGCGGGCTCTATAAGAGGCGCTTATACCGATCCCACGCTAACCCCCTGGCCAATCGCGAGTGCAGCTCTGGATGAGCGAGCGAGAGAGAAGATCTTCAGCGCAGCGCGCTCGGGCTAGGTATACGCCGAGCGTCCTTTCTACCACCAACGTGTGGCACATCGGCCACCACCAGAGTCACCCGAAGCACCGCCGCTGCCGCTGTACTCTCTTCTGTCTACCTGCCCGACTACATCATCTCCTCCTCCTCCTCCTCGCCTTGGTAGTGCCAACAGCTGGGTTTTTTTTTTTCTTTCTTTCTTTCTTTGCCCTCTCTTTACCGGCGCGTCCGTCCGATACCCATCCGAGCTCCCGTGCGGAGTGTGTACTTACCGATCGCCTGATCTCTTTTTTTTCTTCTTCTCTTTTTTGGAAGGCGAACTTCTTCCGAAGGTGATCGGCATGAGATCCGATCGATCGGTGGATCACGGGCAAACGCCCTTCTGAACGAGATCGCGTGAACCGATTTTTTTTGTTTTGTTTGTTTTCATCGTTTCGGGATCGAGGCACTCGACGCAGGGGTCACGAATTGCTATTACTTGGGGTTATTAAAAATAATAAAACCACGTCGATCCGACAAACAGCTGTTCCGCAGCTGCTCTCTTTTGCACAAGTACACATACCGATCTCTGTATGTGTGTACCTACATGCGAAGGAGATGCATATCTGTATCCAGAGACACGCGAAACGGAACGACAGGTGTATATTTTGTACGAAGCCCAACGCACCTGACGTCTCTATTTTCAAACTCAAAGGATTCTTACGAACGCGCACAACCACTATACGTATACCTAATATTTTATTTTCACTTCCTACGTATACATATACAGGCGGGATCGAGCGTTTTTCTCTCTCTCCCGAGATTAGATAAGGGTATAACACATTGTTTGGGAAAAAGCGCGGGAAAGACAATAAAATGCCTCTGCACCACCGAAAGAGAGTCGAAAGAAAGTACCTACATGCACACGTGTAGAAAGTTATGAAAAATTTCCGTACGCGCGTTATTTATCCGAGGCTTTTTATTTAATACAGCTTGGCAAGAGTGTAAATGGGTGTGCACGACGGTTTTCTTGGACGCTGGAAAATGCATCCATTCGCGGGCCGTTGAAAATCTGGCGAATTTGAATGAATGATCGAGGCTATTCGGAGATAATCGGTTTTTTTTCCTCTTACGACACACTGCGAGAGAGGCCGAGGAATATCAGTTCCCTTCTGTGGGCAATATTAGCATATGAAGTTGGGTATGGGTTTACAGTGCGTGTGTGACCCGATGGGAGTGCAGAATTTCGGTTTCGTTGAAGGAGGGCGTGGATGGAAGCTCTTTTACGGGAGAAATCCAGCCTGGTACGTTTACTGCCGCGTTATTGCCGATCGAAAGGAAAATTTTACGGTGTATGTACTCGTGCGCCAGAACAAGAATAGGATTTTCAATTATTTTTTATTGATGCAACACCCAGGGATCTTGCATCTTTCTTTAAATATTAATAAAATTTGATGTGATTTTCGCGGGGAGTGTACCTTAATTCACTTTTGTGTACGTGTACACCTCGTTATAGTAGCCACAAAATGATCGAGAAGCATATAATATAAGCAAGCAATAAAGACTAAGCTACCCTTGAGTTTTTATGCTGTGACGTGGTATACCCATGAACTCGTCACAGACCTCCTTCATGTTACTTTAACGGCAGGAATCAAACACTCGAAATTGGGCGTTTACTCTGCAAGTCAAGCTCTCACCCAAAGGCTTTGCTGATGGTTAACACATCTTTGGCAGGATAACACAATGATTTTCTAAATTATTAAGTACCACACCATTAGTACAACGGGTAATTTAATTCATAAAATTTAATTTGCACTATGTTTTCGGTTCATACATGTGCGTTGCGATTGTCGTGGGTGTCATTAACTTTCTGTTGCGTTCAGATCGTGATCTTTTGTTCCCATTTCCCTCACGAGAGTCCGCACAAGCACGTATCTCCGTTACAACGTATCGATGCGGTTTGCACCGCGAACGAAATTATAAGCTCGGGTTACATCGGGCCCAAACAAGGACTATACCATAATACGCAATTTGGAGCTGCGCTTTCGTTTTACGAGTAAAAATTATTACACATGAGAAATGTATTTACGACGAGGAACAAACGCGTATCAATTTCACAAGGCCCTCGCTCACACGTGCCCGAAGGACGAGCAATTCGTTTTTATTATCGCCCACAAAAGTATAGGTACACATATACCTGTCAACGTTTTTATTGCACAAACACGCGTTTATCATTAAAATATGACTCGAGATCGTCCACGTACGGATGATTATTTATCGTTGCGGATTTTCGTATCCACGTTTACACGATTCGCATAAACGTATCGTCCTGAAAGTGATATTTTTCAATTTTTATCTTTGAAAGAACTTTGTCTCCCTCATTCGATTGTCACACATCCAATTGTACACCTCCTCGATCTCTCGAACCGATTTTCCATCATATACACGAGCGAACGATCGCTAATTGCGTCCAAACGGTAGCGTCGGACAAAAAACACACACACATCCGAAAGCTCTCGAATAAAACGAGCATTGCGCGCTCCTCTCACTCGGGAAATTAACGTCCTCGAAGACTGCACACGCTCTCTTTTTTTTCTCTCTCCCTCTGCTCTTCGCGATCGGCACTTTATAACGAGACACGTACATACACACACACACACACGAGCGCGCGCTCCCGCGAATCGCAGCATCATCTCGATTTTCGTCACTCACTCCGCCCTTCCCTCAATTTCCTCGCATTATGCGGCCTTCTCTCCTCGTAACGGGCCCACATACTCTATCCTGGAGAAATCGCCCCCTTAACTTGTACGCGTAACTTGGCCGTGTTTTATAAAGATTCCCGGCTCGGCCCAAAAGAAGTTGTATATACGCACACACACGAGCGTCCAAGCCAAATATCCACACGCAACTCGCGGGCGATGCTCGGGTAATGATGACGACGACCGTGATTATTATTATTATTAGCCCGGCGCTTTAATTATCGTAAGGGCGCTCGCGTGTATACGTTTTCCCTCCGTGTCCTTTTTTTTTTCCCTCCTTCTCATCGATCGCAGACATCAGCGGGGTATATTTTAGCAGGGAGCACTTTTGCGACGCGTAATTGTATGTTATTTCGCGCAAGTTAAGAATTTAAAAGATTTAATTTTCGGGCTCTTTAAAGCTGCTTTCTCGGGGGGGACGATGGTGGTGGGCCCATGTGCGTGCGATTCACTTGGAGCGTAATTTCACGTGAGAAAATTGCGAAACCCCGCACATGCCGGTGATTGATCGGTGATTGGGCAAACCTATATACCCGTGCACGAGTGATAAGAAGCGATAAAAGCTAATAACTCTATAGTATTTTTGCGCAACGCGTTCGCAAGGGTTATATGTGCGCACAGTGGCGTTGGATTTTTCGATTGTGCGTCGTCATCGCCGCTTCATTTCGTTCGATGAAATTTCGCCGTAAATTTTGCTCTTTTGTAATTACGAGGGGCCGTTGTGAAAAAAAGTTGCGGACTACGGTTATTAGCCCCCGCACTGCACGGCTCGTGGGTACGTATAATATAATACATGGTGGAGCGTCCAAAGTACAGGTCGTGCTCGTTGATGGTTTATTGACGTGCGGTTGTGATTTTTTAATTGACAATTGCTACCTACTTTAGCGTCCATTTCATACGAATAATTGCCGAGTTCCTGATGGTGTTCCTCTCCCAACAGCGGGTAATTATAATTTTGTAATCAGCACGTACATTTATTGTTGCTGTTGCATTGATTTTTACCGTAAGTCACGTAGGATAATTTTACGCTTATATATGACGTTCTTGAGTGTTGTTATAGGTGTACTGAAAGGTTGTATTCGAGAGTGACAGATTTTGACGGCCATTGCACACACGGCAACGGATCGGCGTTGTTGTGGTTGTTCTCATTGTGAATTTTAATCGCTGAAACTATTTGTGATGAAAGCCTTTCCGTTGCTTATGCGTGCGGGTGCTTTTATCAATGTACTTTCACTTTGGTGGTGACTCATTTTGCAAAAGTTATGTCCGCAGAGCAAATATATTTGTTAGTGTCAGTGGGTGAGCAAATTGTGTTTGGCCACAGCACGTTAAAACGAGTGGAATCATTCGTTAGCGCGTGACATTGAACGATACGAGTTTAAAAAAAAATAAAATAAAATAAAACCAGTCAGTAGCTTTTTGAAACGGGATTGAAAGACCAGAGGCAGAATAAAGAAGTCGTAAAAAAGAGAAAAACAAGATATATCATGTATCTACATTGAAATATGAGATTTTTGAAAAACAAAGTTTGACTTTAATTGCATTATTTGTCTATCACAGCACATTTGTATTCATACAGACATTTAGCTGGGGGTGAAAGGATCATATTTTTTTTGGACTGGACATCTATGTAAAATTTGAATTTTTAATGCGTGGTTGTGTTAACTTATTGACAAAAAAGTGATTTTGGTAACGGTTGTAACGTTTGTTTTATTTTTTATTTTTTTTTTTATGAAACGTTGTGAAATCGCGGGTATGAATATTCATAACTTTCATTTTGTCAACATTATTTTTTTTTTTTGAATCTGTTATATAACTAAAATAAGCTTTTCTATGTTTTAAAAGTTTCATAATGTTATTGTCTCTGAGTAAAAAAAAACGATAAACTTTCCAACTTCATATTTATTCAAATTTTCTAACAAATTATTTCTCGTGAATTTTCTACTTAAATCCTACCAAGATGTACGTCCAGCTATATTATCGAACGTATCGGTGATTAAAATCGTATGTGTGTATTATAAACTGTTGTAAAAACTACGATAATCAGATTG